AGTACGGCTAGTAGATCTGTTCTATAAGATCTTAGATGTACCGAGTACCTTCCCTATCATAGATAACAGCCGGGGAAATCAGGTACTTGGTACCCGATGGCCCTCTCCTGATCTAGATCCCGCTGATCCTGCAGTGCAGCCTCCGTGCGCCTCCGTGCATCTCCGCAGGATTCAAGGGAAAAAAGACACAACACACAAAGAGGAGATCGATTGTCAAAGGGAAATTAAAGCTTCAGAGAAGCCTGAAACATCTCTGCTAGAAATATCATTAGCTACCAGAATCTATAAAGCTTTAATGACTTCTTGTTTCAGGCCGTGTCTAGACCGCCCCTCCCCATCGAACTAACGGAAAATCCCCTCTCCCCTCCTTCTGAGCGTCTTCTCTCTTTAATATTTCATATTTTAGTGAATGTACGTTGAAGTTGTCTGATCCATCCACGGTGTCTATTGTTCATACAATTGAATGCTATGGTCCTTACCACCACCCTCGGATAAACACGAGAGCCCGAACAACGAATCCTCGAACCGACGTCACTTTCACTGCCACATGGACTATGCCCGACATGCCCGAGCCGGATGTCTCTCACGCTGTCCAACCGTGTCCCACGCCATTCCCCTCGTGCAAGTCGGAGTGCATCACCGGCGACGGACTAAATGCCGTTCATGACGATGGAGATGTGCAACGCGACTTGGGAACATGGAATGATGGTGTCCAGACCACTGCCATTGAACAATTGGTTGCACTCAAAAAGTGTCTGCGGGCAGCCGACACCGAGCTGTTCTGGAAACGGCTTATGGAGGACATGACGTCTATAACCAAAGCCCAGTATGGGTTCGTTGCTCGGAGGGTGCACGGAACTGAGCCCATGCCAGAATTAGGCGGGCGGCGCCCGTCGGTTTTTGGTGCAGCTTTCTACTACAATGATGGTTATCAGAAAGTTGGGTTGCAGCGAAACAATTATTTCGCGGGAGGGAACCCCCTATTGCACATGGACCACGAACGGCGTTGTTTGGTCCCCGAGAACCTCAGCTCGCTCTTATCGTTCGGTGATGATCAATTGCCGTTCGCCGCCGATGGTTATTTGGCGATTCCCCTCTTTTCGGCTGGAAAGTGCCTGGCGCACCTCGGGTTGATGTGGTCGAAAGAAGGTCTCCGGCATAGAAATCTGTCCTGGTCCTTCCTGGAGATGATTCTCCACTCGCTCGAAGACCTGATTATACAACGGCTGGACACAGGGGAACAAATTCTAGATGAACTGTTAGATTCCCTAACGAAAAATACCTCCGAGTTCCACAACCCCCAGACTGCCACCTTCCATGAAGCCGCTGATTTCAACTCCCATGATTTCAACTCCCACCCCCTCAAACCCTACGCCCGAAGCTTATCCCATGAGCTGAGGACCCCAATGCAGGGTGTGGTAGGCATGCTTGATGTCATGCATGCTACAGTACGCGAGGCGATGGAGGTCCAACCTCCTATCAAATCGGGAGACATTTTTCAATCGCTCAAGGAGGGAATTGAAATGGTTCAAGATAGTGCGAGACGTGCGGTTGAAGCGGCTGACAATGTCGTTCATGCTTACGAGCTCAACATGCAAATTCCCAAAACCCCACTCCGGGAGGAGCCCGACATACTAGGCGGTCTCACAGTCCCACCTGCTATACCCGAGACTCGGCCGAGCATCTTCATCGAAGGGAATAACATCGCTGTAAACCCGTACAAACGGCGGCGGAGCCTACCATCGGAGCTGAACACCCGACCAGTGCGCAAGCAAAGACTGCGTGCAGTTTCGTCCCGGCAAGAGCTTTCGCCCCGCAGCGAAGAAGTCAAGAATGCTGTTCACGAAAGCGACCAGATCGTACATGCTACCCCAGCTCGCCAGTTCGAAGCTGTATTGGCTAACATGGCCGATCCACGCCCGTCTCTCGCAGTCCGACGATCCGCCCCTCACCTACTCCTTGAGGGAATCAATGTGAACTTAAGACGTTCTGCTTTGCGATTTACCAAATTACGAGATCTTCTCCGCTTGGTAATCAACGAGTCTCTTCACGTTGGTGGCCGACCGGACTCTGCTGTTAGCAATGCAACCGAGTTTGGCGAACGGATTGAGATTCGGTCGCGGTCCTCAAACGGTGAATTGTTCACCAAGGTTGTGGACTGGTCTGTAGACCCTTCATTACCGGACACCCTTCTTGCCGATGACCGTGATTTGGCCAAACTAATCTCGTGCGTCTTTCTCAACGCGATTAAATTTACCAACAACGGCACCATTACTGTTTGCGCGACTATTGACCCCAAGAAGAATGATGTTCATATTCTTGTCCGCGATACCGGCCCGGGAATCCCCGCTGCATTCCTACCCAATCTCTTCAAGCCATTCGCTCGGGGAGATGCATCGACCACAAGAAGCAAAGATGGCCTGGGTCTCGGTCTCCTCGTGGCCAAGGGCCTTTCACGCAAAATGGGCGGTGACTTGACCTGTGTGCGTTCGTCGACTTCCGGTCCTATGCGTGGTACAGAATTTCGAATTCGAATCCCCGTCAACCAACGTGAAGCTGAGCTCCGCCCTGAAACTCCCGGTGAGAGTGTTTCGACGCCATCCACCTCTACCACCGACAAAACACGACAGGGCAGTGCCAGTAGTTCTCTGTCTGATACCTCTCCCTTTAACTCCCCATTTATCCTACTCCAGAATCGTCAGCAACAGCCGACACCAGGCACCATCGACGAAAACATGTCTCAAAGCCCAACACTCCTGCGACCGTCATCACAAACCCTTTTGAATCGAACACATATTTCCGGCGATGCATATGACAAGAAGCTTGGCGAGAAATATCCGCTGCGCTTTCTCGTTGCTGAAGATAATCGAATTAACCGGCGCGTACTGGTGAGCATGCTACGCAAACTTGGCTACTGCGATGTACTTGAAGCGGCCGATGGCAAAGAAGCAGTCCAGATCGTCCAAGGCATTCTCTCCGCGCCAAAGCCCCCTGTCCTAGACATTGATCTCGATCCAGTAAACGCAATGCAAGGCGTCATCAATGAGCCTCATCAGACTACAAAAACCAGACCGATCGATGTGATTTTGATGGATCTTTGGATGCCTGAAATGGACGGATATGAAGCCACCTTACGAATCCTGCAGATGGTCGAGAACCATCGGGACCAACATGCTGCTTTTGAGCGACCGGACCCCAAGAACCCTGATTCCATGGAAATGGATCCAATTCCCAACTCCTTATGTACACCACCCCCTCCCACAGTTCTTGCTGTGAGTGCCGATGTTAGTGACGAGGCATTGAATCGCGCCTCCAGAGTGGGAATGAAAGGCTATATGACGAAACCATATAAACTCTCTGACCTCCAACGGCTGATTCTCGAATTCTGCGGCGGTACTGGCAACGGCGTTGTCTAAATCCTAGTATAACCACTAGGCCGCCCATCCGAACATGATGTTGCTTCCTTGCATTTCCATGCCCAGACATTATACCCATTGATGCGGATATTTTTCTTTTCATGTACAGACCCCACCCCCAATTGCTTTGTTCTTTAGCCCAGGCGCCTCTCACGTTAGGGTATGCATTGACTCGGCGACCTATTCATTTTCAACTGCCATATACCATCCTTGTCATTTTTTGGCCCTTTTTCAGCTAGGGGAAATACCATGATCTAGTTAATAGACGTGTGCGAACTAGCCAGCCCTGGAGCCGACTGGTTTTTGTTAGGGACATAAGCATGTGATCACATCACGCTTGATCATAACTTCTCTTCTTTTCCTCTTCTTCTCCCCATTGCTAGTTTCCTCGTTGAATGAAATCTTTCTTTTGACCAGAACGTCTGCAACAATTTGATCCAAAGCCTTCAACATTTACTTACCAAGGCTTATTCAGCACGCTTTTTATTAAGCATCTATGGATGCTCACAAGGTATATAAAACAAGCTAACATAGTCGTCTTATCCACAGCAATATAAGTAACCGCATTGTTTGCATCTCGGTTCGCCCTGGCAACGACCAGGAACCCTTAGGTCCATACTGCACCAATCTGCTATCCGGAGAGAAGACCTGTGTCAGTTCTCCGGGCGATCTTCAGAACTTAACCACCATTGTGGCCGCTATCCATACGGGCATCAAACCAGAACCATGGCTTATGATTCCTCACCCTCGTCATGATGCACCCCACCGATTACTCGAACACCAGATATCATTCTCATGACGAAACTTCACCGCCAGTGCATGCAAATCCACCATCTGCAACGTGACAATCGGATAAAACTCTTGCAAGATAGACTCCACTGCACATTAATATACTCCTTAAATCCAGCCCCGGCCACATCCTTATCACCTAGACCTAGCATCTATGGAAGACGCGGGCGGCTTGCTCCCTGGGACACCGAAACAACAAAGGGAATCTTTTGGCGCTCGCGACGCGGCGCGGAAGAAGGCAGTGGAGGGACAATACAGACTCCATGGAAGCCAGTGTCACCTCACCATAAGACAAGCGGAAGTGTGTTTTGTTTCCTCTGAATTTGCGGCCTCCACTCGGGCCTAGTGGCGGCGACTCATTTCCTGCATGATTTCGTGGAAACTATCTTCGCCGTGAGTGGCTTTGAGACCATCGAGAAGATTGGTACGTTGGGTATCTGAGAAGGTCATGAAGTCGTCCTCGCTGGCGTTGAGGAGCTGGTCTTGGGTCTAGCCTGGGGGTAGAAGGACACAATTCGCTCTTAGTGAGGTGGAATGAGGTATATTCATTCTGACAACAGCGGTCGGATGTGGGATTTTTAGCGTTTATGAATATATTCACTACTACGTTTAGAAAGACGTGTGCTCCAAGGCAATAATTTTCATTTCTCTAGATCAAGTCGATATCAACCCTAATGCTTTCTTCTTGCATTTTCTGGGGAGCCAGCATATGTCATGAGTTGAAAAGACTTCTGGAATATAGGCCTATACATCCGTCTTTTATATGAACCTATTGTCATATTGACATAGGCAGCTCTACTCGCAAAGTGTGAAATCGTCCAATCCTGAATCAGGAACAGCCACGTGAGGGAGGCAGAGGTCGACATTCTCTCCTTTAAGGTGCTTGAAGACCCGAGAGTACTCGGTCTATGAAGAAATTAGCAACTTCCCTTTCCACATGGTCCTTTAGGGCATCCGGGAGCACAAACCTCAATGATGTCCACAAACTCATCATATACGTGATCCGCCTTCATCTTCTGACGAACGAGATCGGTCACTCCGCCCAAAATTGCGACTACCGTAGTGACCTTGCTGTCCCAAGTGAGAAGTGCGGAAACCCCCGTTCCATCAACACGAGTGGATTCAGTGCTGCCATAGATATCTGGAGAGTTATTTCGATTAGCATCATACCAATCAAACCGTCTTGATATCTAAAAGGTGTCACTGACTCTGCATTTTCTTGGCAATAACCATGTTCCTCCACCAGGCGAGTCCGACAGACTTGTCAACCAAAATTGTCGGGAATACACTGTACGGCGTAATGACGTCTAGCTCCTGGACAGTCTGGTTTGATATGGAGGGGATACCAGCGTTCGAGATATAGCCGGTTACGTCGCCGATTGAGGGATCGGTGATGTTGTTAACTGAGGCGAACATGCCGGGCAACTTCGTGGCGACTGAGTTGCAGGTCCGGACTCGCTCAGCGTTCTTAAATAGGCGACTAAATGGGAAACTGTTAGTACATGAAAGCCTATCTCTGTCTTCTGCTTGAAGTCTTACCGGACAATATCGATGTCATAGTAGGGCATCTCCATCACTTTCCAGGTTTCGTGGCTGGAGAACCAGAATCCTGTCTCAGAATTAGCCACTGTCTTCTAGTCTTTCCTTTCATATCCACAAACCTTTTTGGACAGTGATAGGCCCGAAACCGCCCATTTTGTAGTCCACGCTCACCAGCTGGGGCCTTTTGATTTCCCATAGCGCCTGCTTATCGGCCTTTGACAGACCACCGAAGAATTGTAGCCAGAATGTGAAAATCTCGCCTTCGAAAGGGTCGTCCAGTAAATCTTTAGTCTCGCATAGATACGACTGATCCGGGTGATTGACAGGGAGGGATTGGTCTTTAATGTCAATGACGGTACAGACCCGGCCCTTGCCTTTGTAAAAGATCTGATTAACAGACAGGAGATTAGCGACTGATCCAAATCTAACGGGGAATCATGGGTTACATACCTTAGCAGCAGTAGTTTTAGTGTAGTCCATCCAAACCTGCCATTTCTGTGCGAGTTCCCGATAGCTTTTATTGCCTGTATTCTCAAGAGCCTGGATGAAACCATATACAGCCCATATAAGTTCACTATACAGATACTTATTGTTAGCCTAGAAACCAGAACGAGGGAAAAGAATATACATACCCATTATCTAGAGAAGGCACGCGGTTGACCCAGGCTGTCACTGGAGTTAGATCTTGAGCATCCGCTGTGACCCAGGGCAAGAAGCCTCCGAATCCTGGGTAAGTCTCATTGAATTTGAGATACGTCTGCAACTTTTTCTGCATAATAGAAGCCGCGATTTTAGGAGCCTCTGCTGTATTCTCAGGCGAGAGGAACCGAGCAGCCTCCGGAGAGCCAGCAACAGCTTGGGCGTACAGCATGATTTGAAGGGACTATTGGAATATGAGTTGAGGGCTTTCAAACAGTAGGAAAATGAGCACAAACCTCTTTGCTGGCAGCACTGAACGTGTGCTTGGTTGTTGCCTCGCCGGTCACCCAATCGATGTTAGTGCCATCGTAGGAGATACCATTGTTGCTATTATATGAGATGTTGTTCTGATGAAACTTGCCCTCCCAATACAGCATATCATTGATGAAGGCAGTAGGATCTCGAAGGACTTGCTTTTGGGAATATTGATGCGCAAAACGACATGACGGCTCCTTGGTATGTCCGGATATCGATGGTAGAGCATTGACCAATGTTGTCCATGTTAGAACATGGCCGAATTTCTCGTGGAGACGCATGTCAGGAGCTCAAAGTAAAGAGTTGAATACCGAATTAGACTGACTAGCTATCGAAACGGACATCTCGACTCATATAAATACTGTATGCTTCTGACTTGAGGCGGAAATCGAGTATTTGCCGAATTTCCATGTCCACGAATTATATCACATCACGAGTCTCTGGGGTCCCCGCATTCCAAGAAGCTTTTCCCCTGAGAAAGCCTTGAATCTGATAATGGGTTGAGGGTGCACGCCACCATGGTAGACGTTTTCCCGTTTGTTTAGCTCGTGACTATGCGAATCTATTTCCGCTATAGGATGAGATCTTCAACCGGGATTCTTATTGGAGGTCAATTGGCCGAAGGAGACGGAGAATCGGGGAATTATAGATTGTGTGGGGAATCGCAGAATCTTCCCCAGACGCCGATCATTTACTCGATTCAGACAATAGGTAGGTACGGAGTAAGCGAAGTATGTTTTTATATTTTGTAATTGTACCATTAAATCTAGTTAGTTAATATACATTCATTTGACTCATAAAACTAGCTTTCATAACAACCGTCGTAAAGTGTCCGACGCTTTCGAGTCTAAGCGGGTCAGTATATCAAGAAGCACCGATAGATCGTTACGGGCTCGAGCCGACAGAGGGGACGCTTCATGCTGATCGATAATCTCGAGCAGACAAGCTCCTATGAGCCTGATCTTTTCTACCTATATGGCCATCAGAACTTGCTCATTTGACACCAGGACAGCAAAAGAAAGGCGACTTACACATGGTTCGCCATTGATCTGCAATGCCCAGAAAGGAGCATCGCGAATGACTCGGAGAAGATCGCGTGCAATGTCAGTCTTCCGTAGTAGTAGCATTTCATTTGGCGCAGAAGGATAGTAATTGAACTCTTCAAATTTCTGTGTGATTACCATCTTTAGACAGTGCAACGAGACGTAAACGTTGGCTGCTTGAATGATATGTAGCCTTGTGAGCCTAGACAGGCGTTGATTGTCTTTATTGGCGTTTGACATGAGCTGGTCATATTGTAAAAAGGGGGGTAAGTCATCGAGAGACGTCACAAACAGCACGTAAAGATGGTCAAGTCTGTGACTTTCTTCTGCCGTGGGAGGTTGACGAGGGAGTAAATTCCCATTTTTATGACTATCCAACAATCGCATCTCTAAAAGCAAATCGGATGCACTTTGCCAAAGCCGAATGTTTGCATTGAATCCTGCAATGAAACTATTTTGAGTACTCTCGGCATCTGGAACACCACTACCAGGTGTCAGGATTGTTTCATCTTCAATGCCGGTCGGATAGCCGATGGTGATGCCAGAGTTGAATGAGTATTTGTGTATTGTGATCGGACGATTGTTCAGAATGGCTGCCGATTTATCGCCGATATAGGCAATCCAGAACGCCCGTCGCCGAAACTCCACTTCGAGAGAAGTGAGCCCCTGCAGTGAATCTTCTTCGTGCATCTGCATCACTTGGGCTAATCGGGTGGCTTCCCCAAAGATGTGCCACGACAGTCGTGGCTTTCCGGCAGCATGCATGCAGTTGGAGTGGAAGTATCGAATGGCAACGGAGTTGGCATTTGGGTATTCAAGATCGGCTTCCAAATATGTGGCCAGGCAATTTCTGGAGGCTTGGAGAAATATGTCTGCGATCCTTTCTCCCTCAGGAAATATATCCTTCGGAAGGAGAAAAGCCGTTTCCGCGCAGACAGCAGTGATCAAAGTGAAAGAAAGATCGGGCCACAGCTCTGGATATTTGAGACTATTCACTCCATATATGAGGCCATCAGCTCTCGAATTCCTTCCTTGGGTCACGAAGAACCCTAACCCATCTCGTAGACTGGGTTCATGAACAAGTGGAGTCAAGGGATATAGATATTCAAAGAATAACTCGAAGCAATGATTGATAGTCCGCTCTAAGTTCGCTGATGTGCTCTGCACGACAATCACCCGTTCCAAAGCATGCCATCGCTGCAACGCCGAGGTAATTCTTGTAGAGGCGACATCGGAAATAGACGATTGGGCTGTATGCACAGTATCAGGGGAAAGAGCCGGATCAAGTATCGGGATATTGGCGTCCCATACATCTAGCGGAACTGCAACCGGGGCGGTCGAACCGAGATTTTGAGTTATAGAGTCATCTTCCGATACCTGCAACGCTGGTGCCAGGGGACTATGCGGAACATTTGGATAAGCCACATCATGCGACCTTTGTCGCTTGGATTTAGGCCCACGTCTGGCGATCGGCACGTCAAATGTGCATTGCATCCGAGCCAAGCGGCAGTTGGTGCATATTGACGATTCACCCGAGCAGTCACACTATTACAGGTTAGTTTAGACTAGGTAAGGCGGGGGTTTGCTTCATACCTTTGCTTTTCTCCGACGGCAACGATCGCATGCTCTAGCTGACGAGCGCGAACGAGATACAGGGCTGGCCATCATATTTTTCGTCTCGGCAAAATTCGTCGGAGGTTAGGGCCGTTGGGAAAATGGGAATCGGGATGAGGCTAGGTCAAATACTCCGCGAATTTCTCCGAATGCCCCAGGTTTTTCTTTTCTTGGGGTATTTCCGCGCCTTGATTAATTAATTAATCAATTAATTTACATTGATTAACAGGGGTTGAAGGTGCTTTATATTAGCTTTGTAGAATTTTAGGTCAATTGCGTAATATCTAACAAAAAAAAAAAATCTCATCTATAGTATACCCGTCTCATTGCTCTATTTGGATTCGGAAGCGTTGCCACCCATGCGTTTATCAAACATTCCTTTCAGCAACAATGCGGATTGCTTCGGCGTCCTTTCCAGGGTGTTGTAATCAGTGAAGGTAACGCCGAAGCGAACCCCGTATCCATCGGACCATTCTGGAAGAAAAATTAGCTCAAAGGTCTTGAAGTATGAAACAAGACACGTACCTAGGTTGTCCATCAATGACCATGCGAAATATCCTTTGATATCAGAGCCATCTTCTGTGCGTGCTGTTCCGACCGCATCGAGATGATCTTCGAAGTATTTGATTCGGTAGGTATCGTTGACGGCCTCTTCAGCTGTCATCTTGTCTTCACCAGGACACGGGCACCCGTTTTCTGTGATATAGATAGGCTTGCCATATGCACGATATACTCGTGTCAAGTGCTTCCGGAAAAGGCTCGGGGTTGACAGGAGCCAATGCACACCACTTTTCTCTCCGATCAATACACCTTGCTTGTTTTCTTGTAGTTCATCCACATTTCCCAAGAAATCAGTCTCAGAGGCAGGCTGATCGCGATGCCGGGCAAATTGGGAGGTGTAATAATTCATTCCGTAGAAGTCTATGTCGGCCTCCCTAAGCAGAGAAAAGTCCGACTCTGTGAACCTAGGAAGTCTCTCGCCGAGTTGCTCTCTCATGCATTCGGGGTAGTCTTGTGCTAAACTGTCAAAGGTGTTAGTTGTGTGCTTTTGCTATCTGAGACTCCGAAAAACCTACCAAACGGGGTTCGCAAACCATCCGATATGGAACTGCATCCGGCGTTCAGCAGCTTGGTGGTCGCGCTCATCCTCACTATCCCAGGGCTCGTAGTAATCGCCATTCAAGGAGATTCCAATCTGCCCTTGCTGAGAAGCTCGGAATTCCCGGTTATACAAAACCACAGCGCGAGCGTGGCTCATGATCAAGGCTTTCCCCACAATCCATGGCTCCGTAGTAGTATCGCCCTCCGTGCACTGCGGATTTATACTGCTACGCCCGGGCGCATTTCCGCCAGTAGCGTATCCCTAGACACGTGTTAGATGCTATCCGAAAGGATAAAAAAGAAAGGACAAGGGACTGGAGAAACATACGAAAATAGAAGCAATCCACGGCTCATTCAGTGTGATCCAGTTCTTGACTCGGTCCCCAAATCTCTCATAGCAAATCTGCGCATACCGCTCAAAGTCAAGCTGTGACTCCTCCACATTCAACCAACCTCCGTATCGATCATGAATGCCTTGAGGAAGATCCCAATGATAGAGAGTGACCCATGGTGTGATTCCCCTGGCAAGCAACGAATCAATGAGTTTGTTATAGAACGCGATGCCTGCTTCGTTGACTGGGTCGTTTCTTCCTCCTAGCGGAATGATTCGCGACCAGGAAATTGAGAATCGGTATGCTTTTGCGCCGTATCTCGAGAGAAGATCGAAATCCTCCTCAAATCGGTGGTAGTGGTCGCAAGCGATGTCGCCATTGTCTCCCTTGGTCCTTGTTGGCTCAAGGTGGCAGAAAGTATCCCAGATCGATTTTCCACGCCCGTCTTCATTCACAGCTCCTTCGATCTGATACGAGGCTGTTGCAAATCCCCATTCGAAATCGGGGGGCAAGGGTACTGACATACTGGCAAATGGCGAACACAAAGCCACAAAAGCAGTGTGAAGTACTTTGAAAAAGAAGAAAGTGACAGAGCTCTACCCAAGCAGAAAATTAAAGCTATATTCCTTATAACCGGGGAATTGTGGCGTTGAAGTGGAGAGCTCCCATCGAAGGATAAACGGCAAAATTGGCATTTCGCCGATTCCCCGAATCTCCAGACTTCATATTTTTCTCCACGGGGTAATTCCCCGCAAAAATGCGGAATCCACGTTTCTCTCAGCACGTGAACACCTCTAGGGTTGTCGGAATGCGTAGAGTTCGTTGTATCCACCCGGCTGTCTCTTCTATAAGAAGTGCAAAGAAGCCTTCGGGCTAAGATTCCCTATCATTCGATCATAGGCAAGTCCACTTCATTTGTGTCTTCGTCTCAATTGAAGTCTGCAATCATGGCTCCTACTGCCGCTCATGCCACAGAGAACATTATCTCGTCCATTGACGTGGATTCTATGCCGCCTTTCTGGCGACGGAAGAATGGTATTCTGCTATACTTCCTGCTCACTTCGTCTCTACTAGCAAGTGCGGCTCTCGGCATTGATGGGGTGAGTTCTAGTGTTTCAAGACTTGAGTGCGTTTCACTGACGATCTATCACAGTCCATGACAAACGGCATGCAAGTCTTGGATTCCTGGCAAGATCGATTTGGACACCCAGAAGGTGCTACATTGGGTTTCTTTGGAGCCTCGAACGCCATTGGTGGTGTCATCCCATTTATCTTTCTCAGCTGGATTAGTGATAAATTCGGTCGTCGCCTACCCACTGCGCTAGGGTCTGTTGTCATCATTGTTGGTGTGCTTGTCGAATTCTTTGCCACTTCTTTGAACATGTACATTGGCGGCAAGATCGTTCTAGGTGTGGGATCTTCGCTCATCCAGATGGGCGCACCTGTTTTGATCACAGAGCTGTCCCACCCCAAGGAACGTGTACAAGTCACTACTTTCTACAATACATCCATCGTTCTTGGCTATGTGATTGGAGCCTGGGCAACGTATGGTTGTTACAGGATCACCAGTCAGTGGTCATGGCGGCTCCCTACTTTGATCCAAGTTGCTCCCTCGGCCTACCAATTCTGCCTCATTTGGTTCTGCCCCGAGTCTCCCCGTTGGTTGATTGCAAAGGGTCGTTTCGAAGAAGCCCGTAAGATCTTAATCAAGTTCCATGGTGAATGTGACCCCAACTCGGAGCTGGTCGCGGTGGAATGCGCCGAAATTCAGCAGGCCATCGACAAAGAAGCAGAGAACAACATGAGCTGGAAGGACTTCTTCTCCTCTCGCGCCAACCTCAAGCGCCTGTTCCTCTGCTTCGCCACAGCCGTTTTCAGTCAGAGCTCAGGCAACCTGCTCGTCTCGAATTACTTGACCCAGATCTTGAAAGACACGGGCCTGAAGACCCAGTCCGAAATTACACTTGTGAACGGAATGGTTACTCTCTGGCAGTATTTCGTCGCGATCTTCGTTGCACTGGTCATCGATAAATTCCGCCGTCGATTCTTCTTTCTTACCGGTTCCGGTGGTGTTGTTGTCACTTTCGTCGTGTGGACAATCGCTGCCCAGCAATATCTTGAGCACAACTCTATAGTGGCCGGTCGTGTCGTGATTGCCTGTATCTTCTTCTTCCAGGCATTCTACACTTTCGCGTGGACCAATCTGATTGTCACTTATTCGCTGGAAGTTGTGACACTTCAGATGCGCGCTAAAACATGGGCATTTGTGCTCCTGACTATTCAGGTGGCCTCGATCTTCGGAAGCTATGTCAACCCTATCGGCCTCAAGAACCTTGGCTGGAAGTTTTACATCTACTACTGTGTCTGGGTGCTTGTTGTCTTCCTCGTGGTCTACTTCTTCTTCGTTGAGACGGCCGGTCCTACGCTCGAAGAACTCGCTTATCTGTTTGAGGGCGAGGATGTCAAACGTGGAGTTGTTGACAAGGTCGCGGTGCAAAAGGAACAAGTACAATATGAAGAGCACGTGGAGACCAAGTCGGCGTGAGATACCATTGATATGAATGAACCATGACATGACGATCATGCACATAACAAATGAAGATAAAAATAATTACAAATCAATGATTTCCATCAGAAATTCGAAGACTATGTTGAATAAACATCAAAAGAGTAGTCGACCGTGTATGAGGCCTCTATTCTTGATGACGTGAGCTGTAGGAATAATACTATTAGAGGTACAGAGTAGCCCTAGAGACATGCAATATGTCCACAGGTTGAGGTCGTTGGTATGGGCAATGTCGTTTCCTGGACGATCTACGCAAGACAAGGGAATAGAAGAAAAGATATCATTACATCCATTATCAAGATCGACATCTTACCACGCTCCAAGCACTCCGCACCCTTTTTTTGCTGAAACACTGGCCTTGTGGCCCAACGAGTTCACAAAGGGGTCTCGAGAATTCGAAAGGCCTTCGACTAGAATTTAAAGAGCTGCCGTTCGCTAGGAAAACAGTATAACAACACATGTAAGCACCAATCATCAATATTCACGTAAACCGACGTGCGTGACCACAGCAGAGGTGGAAGGAAGATGCAAGGCATAAGAAACGAGGTATGCTGTAGGGAATAAGACAACGCGGCATCTAAGTCAACTTCTGCTTGATGAAGAATGACCGCAGGTGTGAAAGCTGCCAGGCACATGCGGCGGACAAAACGGCGAGCTGGATAAGAGTCCAGCGCACGACACGCGAGTTGGTGGTCTCAGACTGGTCACGGAATTCAGACTCACGTTCCTAGGTAGAAAAAACATTAGTATCACCACTTTAATCACCTAGAGAGACTCTGGCCATAGATTGGATTGGGAAATCCTTACCCGCTGGTACACCTGCTCACGACGGATATCGTGCAATCGGCTGTTCATATCCTTGACCCGCTGCACGATATCCTTGATTTTGTCCTTATCCTCAGGCTCAATCTTGCTGGTCTCACCAATGGCAAGGTCGACGGTGATCTTGACGGCGCCCAAAGAGTTGGACAACCAGCCGGAGGAGGCGTCCGTTTCAGGTGTGAAGCAGATTCTGTGCTGGCCGGGATCCGCGGCGGAGAAGTGGAAGCGACCAGAATGGCTATCCCGCTTGGATACGACGCGGTGGTCATTGTCGAAGGTCTCCTCGACAGTGATGTGCATCTTCAAGTTATGGTCGACCGCGTAGATGCCGCTCTGGGGGTTCAGGACTTCAGTTTCGAAACGGCCTATTTGTGATTTAACAACATAGGTTAGTTTCAAATTCCTTCGTAAAGTCTCTAGAGATGCGCATACCGGCTACTAGAGTATCCTTAGGCAGGTCCTCGAAGAAGCACTTTGTTTGCCGGCCTTCCATGTAGAAGTAGAGGGCATTAGTCGGCAGAAGAAGAGAAAAGAAGGATAGGAGAGCCAAAGCTGACGCCAGCCATGACGAGGATGTCCCAGAGAAAACCATGATGAGGAGATGGGCAATTGGATAGTCGCACGGCCAAGTACTCCTCTCCGTGAAGGTGTCAACATGGGACGTGGCTCCTCACCGCCTGCCGTCTCCGGAATATCTCCCTTTCCAGCGGGAAGCCTCTGTCGATGTGATCTTCAATTTCGACATTCACTAGTCTTTATTGCATCAAACAAAATCTACTTTCATCTTCTCGTGGTCGCTTACTAAAATTTAATCGCTAAATATCGAAGAATCACTCCTTGGTGTCGTGTCTAGATCACCACACCCACCGCCAATATGGCCGCGGCCGATGTTCGCGACATGCTGGATTTGCCCGCAGAAGGGCAGCCCAGACCGCACAAGAAGCAGAAGGTTGTCGAAAAGCGACCAGGTAGGTGTATTGCGCTCCCCGAAAAATAAGATAGATTACTGACAGGCTGTTGTTGAAGAGGGTATTACCCGTGAATTGTACGCGCTACTGGGCGAAAGGGCGCCGCCAATCGCCATTAATGAGAACAAGTACAAGGGTCGTCCAAAATGGATGAACAAGTTGCGCGTTCGACCATGGTATGTTGAAGATGGGGCTCTTTGTATATCCGAATGCACGCTGACATTGATTCCCATATAGGAGCATGGCCCCGTTCACGAACAATGCCCGTTCCGACGGCCTGGTTTTGAACCACTGGCAGCGAAAACACGAGTCAGCCCGACCACCTGTTCCCACACCTGCACCCGCACCCTCAGAGTCCCAAATGGAAGTGGATCAGCCCAAAGAAGAAGAGAAAGAGGACGTACCAAAACTGCCGGAACAAGAATATGCCTTTGCTAAGTATAACGTCAAACCGCGATTGCCCCGTCGGTACACAGATGACGAGTACAATCGGCATCTTACAAGTGATGACTGGTCGCGCGAGGAAACGGACTATCTGGTGGACCTCGTCACTGATTACGACATTCGATGGGTGCTGATCGCAGATCGTTATGACTACCAACCACGAATGGACACACAGCCGGATGCGAATGCCCTTGTGCCCGCAAAGCACCACCGGACAATGGAGCAGATGAAAGCGCGTTACTATTACATCGCTGCAACAATGCTTTCACTTGAACATCCACCCTCAGAGATGTCCGAGGCCGAGTTCGAACTACACGAAAAGATGCTCAAGTTTGACCCCGACCGAGAGCGTGACCGCAAAGAACTAGCGGCCCTTCAGCTTAACCGCACAGCCGACGAGGTCCGCGAGGAGGCAATGCTACTCGAAGAATTGAAGCGCATCACAAGCAACGAGCAGAACTTCATCACCGAACGCCGGGAACTCTACTCTCGCCTCGAGGTTCCCATCAGCGTCGGCAATACCACAATGTACCAATCCAGCGCAGGTCTTTCCCAGCTCCTACAGACTCTACTACAAGCCGACAAGAGCAAGAAACGCCGCTCCATCCTCGGCGACGGTGCCATCCAAAGCCCCGCTGGCCAGACTCCAACCACTGCGGGTGGCATGGGCCGAGCCGATACTCCCGTCACACAGGCCGCAAACAAGAAGGGTTCCATCACATCAAGGGAGACCAATCAAATGGTACGCACGCTTACCCCAGCAGAGGAAGCGAGGTACGGCGTCCAGCACCACGAACGTGTCTCGGCAGGCGTGCAATTCCGCAGCGACCGCGCACAGCGACTCACGCAGGCCAAGTCCAACCTGCAAACCCAGAAACTGGCCAATGCTCTATCCGAGCTCGAGATTCCGGTCCGCCTGTTTATGCCCACCGAACGCGTATGCAAGGATTTCGAGAAACTCATTCAGTCTGTCAACATGCTCCTCGACGCTCGCAAGGTGTCCGAAAAGGTCGAAAGTGAGATCCGTGTACTCGAAGCCTCGAAGATGGAGCGCGAACGCAAATTACGAGAAGCTGCTGGTATCTCGGGGCCAAGTGCTGACTCCGGGCATCCCCATGTGAAAAAGGAGAATGAAGACGGCGACACCGGCGTTTTGGGTCACTCTGCTGCCCAAGGTGCTCAACAAGGGGGTGGTAATCACAAGCGGTCTGCTAGTGTGCTCAGTGCCGTAAGCGACAAGAGCAACAAGCGGCAGCGGAGATAGATCATTTGCTTCCCTACTGGTGATAAAATTACACCCTTATTCTGAGCGTGTGAGAACTGTAAGATGTATTAGGGATCAATTACCCATATTCTGTACGATTAATGACACCCAATTTGGGAAACATACTCATAATTGACCCAAACTCCATCCGCACGAGTAACAATAACAGCAGAACTCACTCAGAGTCCTTGATAACAGTATTTTTATGCTTATCCAACCATAACACTCTCGTTACTCCTGTGATGATCGTTGCCATGCATCTTGGTCACTCTGCCTCCACCACTAGACTTGTTCGGCTCGCCCACCGGCTTCCATAGAAAGCCCCGGGCATCCCAATGCACTCCTGATACGCACTCGCGAGCTCCTCTGCCATATCGCTTCTGGTAGAGTTTGCCCGTCCCAGGCCACTCGATGGATGGTCCTGGTACTGCACTGGCGATTTATCGGATAATTCTTTTGGAGGGAGATTCGAGCGTCTCTTGCTTTCCCTGTTCCTGGAAAACTTCAGTACCCAACGGCCACTACGGGAGCGGGAAGGTTCTCCATTTAATCTGTCTGCACTCCTGTCATTCGACGGATCGAAGTACACAGAGGGCTGGTGGTTTGTTTGATCCATCGAGAAGTGGCGTTCACTAAGTGGTGAAGCATCTGGGGACCGGACACAGACATCACTTCCATGGGTTGAATTGTCGTACTTCTCTGGTTGTGGTTGTTGGCGTGTGGACCGGCTGATTTTCGCCCATCGACTTAAAAAGGTTTCGTCCACGTCTTCGACATAAAAGCTGCTTCCGGAATTTGGAGTCTTTGCAGAAGTTGGTGTCTTCTCAGAAGTTGGCGACTCAATGTGTTGCGCGCGAATCGAGTTTACACGGCCAACAGCCATTCCTTCACTAGCCAAGTCCACTGCCAGCGGTGCGTGTCTATTACCTCGAACCGAATGGCTCTTCATTTTGGCCCACATCGATGGTGTCAAAACTGGTTCTGCCTTGACATTAGTAGGACTTTGTTTCACAGGAGACTGTTGGCTGTCAGGCCTCAGCCCGGGAGTGTCTCCGTGGTCCTCAGCATTGTCCACCAAGCTATACCCATAGCCCATCCGCCGGCCCTCGGTCATCCAGCCGGGACTAACTTTGCGATGTGGTCCGGCGCCGTTGGCGCCATTGGAAATGCCATGACTCTGGGGTGATCCCCAGTTTGGCGTATCAAGTTGCTCAACAAACTTGCTTTTCAGAGCCTCGGTACCTGGTTCCAGTTCATCTTCGACCGAGCAAATCTCAGCTGCCATTTGTGTATGAATATTGGGCAAGCTATCAATTGCATTTGCAGCATGAACTCTTAGTGATTGAACGGCAGATGCTCCCCGCGAAGGGTCACTGCTTTGGCGCGAATAAAAAGAGGACGCATCTCGTTGATGAGACATAGCCTGGTTGTGGGACTCGGGACCCATGATTGCCGTTCCAGACCTCTCATGAGGCTGAAAGTTCTCCTGTGATACCATTTGTAGCCCATATCGATTCGCACGTGGAAGTTCCGACATGGATGCATTAGTCGATGGCGGCTCGGACCCTATGCTTGTTCCCGCGAGTCTGTGCGAAAGGTCTAGATCACCCAGATGTGGTACTCGGGCCTCGGGGTGTGTCCTGGGAGAACTAGTTGGTTGTCGTGTTTTGCGAACCATAATGCCCGGATCTTCCCTGGCTAGCGATGCGGAAGATGCCGCGCGATAATCATTAGGGTTTGATCCCATGTAATGAGCCCAGTCAGCCACAAGATTCTGAAGGTTCTCACCGCTGCTGCTGCCCATAAAGCCTTCTCGAGATCGGAGACGAGCCAATTCTTCTTGACTGGCATGAAGGCTTGGAAGAGATTTTGTGAATGTGCTTTGCTCCCCCGATCGCTCATTCTTGAATGAAGGCACGGACTGGCTCCCTGTGTGTTCGGTTGCAGAGGTGGGGTGAGCTGAGCGCCCTCGCAAAGTTTCTGGGGGCGTGGGTATATAATGCATGCCAAAGGGAGTTCCCGGGGTATCGGATTGATCATGGCCTTTGGCACCCGTCCACATCTCCAAGTCATTTCGCTCACGACTGCGCTCGATTAGGTCCTGCAACCCCATTCTGCGATATGCCGGGCTTCTGGGCGACGCTCTCATATGGGGGGCATGCCGAGGACTCCCAATGCACTGGGCATCACTGTCGTACCCTCGCGCGCTCATCAGACTGCTTCCCATGTCGCTGACCATTGAAAGCCCTGTAGTCCCTTTAGGTCCATTTGGCTTTGGCTTGAGCGAGAAGGGAAAGATGGGACGGTTTTCTCCAGACTGTCTGGATTCTCTCGAGAATCGATGACGGAGACGCGAAAGACTTGTGGATCTCCGCCTATGACTTTGCATAGACCTTGCAGTTGATCCTAGTGCAGGGGCTGTGGTCTCTCAAGTTAGCCAAATATAATATGAGATCAAGTAATGGGCTGAGCCTTGCCTGGGGCTCGCTCCCTGGGACCATCCACATTCTCCATTTGACCATCTTGGTATGATTGTGCGAAGCCAATCGGAGAATCAACACGATGTCCCCTTCGGAGACGAGGACAAGCAAGGAAAAACATTTGGACATGGGATGTTTACAAGATGAACTTCTACGCGCTCATAAATCTCTCCTTGTTAGCTTTTTGGGGAAGGCACTATCGTCAGCAGATGAGCCTTCCATTTTAAGACATCACGGGGTCGCACTTGCTGTTTGTTGATGTCTTGGGTCCATGGCTCAGTCTAACTCAATGTGGTTTTGGCTCACAACCTTGCGTATAGAACCCATGTTGACATCTAGTACTTACATGATCTTCTCTTCGTTCACCATATGGAGTGGATACTGTTATTATTCATTACGTACTAGTGCCAGAAGTGGGACCGTACCCATAAGCTTGTTTTTAGTTTTAATATGGGCAACAGTAGGACTGTGGAATATGTATGTCCTCAATGAAGATGAAGAATGTATAAAATCTCTTCTTTCTCTTATTCTCACTGGTTAGCGGGCCTATCCCGTAAAAACAGTTTCACTTTCTATTCGCCCGAACTGTCGAACTCGGTGATTTTGCCATGGACCTCGTAAGATCAAAAAGCCTCTGCTGAGGATGGAAATAATCACCGAACAATAGTTGCTTATACCAACAGTGGAACGTGGGGAGCTGCTGGCACTGAATTGTGTACTTTGTACCAAAAGTAAGGGAGTTTGGCCATATAGTGCATGGCCCAATCAATGCAATCTGCTAACCGCCCAATAACACCGTAGATCATTTTTGCAATAGATTAATAGGGACATGAACCTCCAATCCGCCTAGTTATGTATCCATCGACTCGCTGAATCACATAGTGGGGTTGTGTAAATCAGGGAAAATCCCGCGGGCTCAGCCGCAAGACGACAATTCGATTTCTTTGGACTTTCCTGGTTTCTTTCTTTGATCGGATGTCATATATCCCACATGTTACCCCACCTCGTGTCACCTTTGAGGCTCTTTATCATTTCGATGTCAACCAACTTGAAGAACTCGCGCTCCTTGCGCTTAATCGTCGCCCTTGCAATTCCCTTTACACTCATTTGTTATCTCTACTCGTGGAGACAATCACCCATATTCATCTCCCGTCCCGCCATACCGCAGTCTTCCGAGACAACTAGAACCTGCACAGCAATATCAGTGCCTCTAAAGGAACCTTCAAACAACAATAATCTTACTACTCCCGCTGCACGCATTTATACACTGCCAGACAAGGTCTGGCATTCTGCCAAGTTTGATGATATATCAGAAACCCAACGCGGATGGACCGGCAGCTGGACCAGGAAAAATCCCTCTATCCGCCAAGAATTGTTGACCGATCGATCCGCCGAAGCATTCGTGCGCGCTCATTATTTTGAAACACGACCGGATATCGTGGAGGTTTATGAAGCCCTTCCAATCCCGATTCTACGTGCGGATCTTTTTCGTTACTTGGTTGTTCTCGCCGAAGGCGGCATTTGGGGCGATTTAGACACCTCCTGCGAGAAAGAGGTTGCCGAGTGGGTACCCGTAGAATACCGAAATGAGAATATCGATATGATTGTCGGATTGGAGTTCGACTTTGAATGGCGAGGACCGGGGACGGAAGTTGCTTCCCAGTTCTGCAATTGGGTATTTGTCGGACAGAAGAACTCGCGCAATCTGAAAGTAATTGTTGACACTGTCATCAATAAATTGGAGGGCATTGCTCAAGAAAACGCCGTGAGAATCGAAGGGATTACCTTCGAAATGCTTTCAGACGTGGTCGACGTGACGGGACCTAAGATTATGACGATTGCGATCCTGGAGAGCCTCGGACAATTGCTCGGTAGGACCGTCGACGATCGCGATTATGCACAAATCAAGCAGCCCAAGCTGGTTGGTGATGTTTTGATCATGCCCGGAGTCTCTTTCGCTGCTCTTCAAAACGGGAACCCGACGGATCAAGGTGACGCTCTCGTGACGCATCATTACGAAGGCTCGTGGAAGAAGGAAGATGCAGATGCAAAGGAGAGGAAAAAGCAGAAGCAAGGAAAAGAACGGTAGCAAGAAGGGTCATCGTCACCACCACTGCCTGCTACAGCCTGATTAGAATTATGATAATAAGCGAAGAGCAGCGGGTTGCTTTGATTTTTCTTTCCTTGTGTGTTGTTATAACTTTTTCATTCCCCGGGATGTAATTTTTCGCTCGAATCCTCAAGAGAGAGACAGGATTGGAGATTCAAAGGAACATACTATGTAATTACCATGTGGAGTATGGTCTATTTTCGGTTTATGCTATTTAAAATAGTATATCAATCAAATGTCGTGTTTTCCCGTTCTTTAATCCCCGATCAACGGAAATTCAAACAGGGACAAGATTCGGGGTTTGAGCTGCCTATTCCAACCCAAAAAGAAATAGAAGCGCCTGTGCACGAACTAAGTACATAATGAAAGCGAATAACACGAGAAACCTATCAGAGTATCAAGAGAAACAGGTGCAAATTTACTGCCAATGGTAAGAGACAAATTGAATTAAGGTACTCCGTACAAAAGAAGCAAAATCCCGACGACGTAGCACGTGATGAAGCTCTACCCTAGCTGGATTGATAAAAATAGCTTGCCAAGTCGGATCTTGCCGATCTCGGGAGCAGATCACTTTGCTGACTGGTGGAGCTGTATGTATACATTACTCCACTTGAGAATCGCCAAAGCTTGACTCTGCCAAGAGAATATCGAGACAAACGCAAGAAACGCAACGCATCTACCTGGGTATAAACCAGACTAGCCTTGAAACGTTGTCCACTGCAAGTACCCAAAGGAGACACTCCGGGCGCTACGAAAGCAGATTAAGGTACCCGGGTCTTATTATATGGTTGTACACGAGGGTTCAATACGGAGTACAGTATGGACAAAGTCAACGAGAGGATTGATTCCACAATTTTCAAAGCAGCCGTGCCGCGATATGAGATCTTACGCTAAGGTGAAGGGATACAGGAAGTCCTTAGCCAAAGGCTACGCAACTACCGACCTACCAGATTTTCGCAACGAGTTGTCTGACTATCTCAACTGTGAAGATCAGTCTACTATCGAATTATGTGGCTACAGCATGTACGAGTGGCGTAGAGACAGCACGTTCGAGGTATTTGTCTCTGTTGACGGAGAATCTGTCAGCACTCAGTCAGACTTCAGCTATTACTAAGGCAATTCAGACTGCGACCCCAAGCGGGATCAACAGTGACGGTTACACCCCCACAAACTCCATGCCTGTCCTGCCGTCGATAACATATGGTTGGCAAATTCCAGTCCCTTACCACCTTATCCGAACAAAGAACTGTATTCTTGCATGGTGGACAGTCTTTCGTGTATAGTTAGTCAATATTGCACGCAGATCAATACGTAGACTTATTTAGGACAGTATGAGGGAGCGATAAGAGCGCCTGCGATGGAATTTCCAAGAATGCAACCACGGGCCAGTACGGTGCCTACTGTGTCTGCGCCAACAAGGAACAAATATCTTATGTATTCGAACGCTACTATAAAGGCTAGAAGAAGGATCAGTCGGCGTGCTATTTCAAGGGAGCGGCGTCAATCTAGTCTTGTAGGGATCCTTCCGGAAGTTGCAGGGCACTTCTCAGCCAAGCCGATCTAGCTGGACCAAATCAGGTCGCAGGTCCAGAGGGACGGGTGCCAGTACGATGCGGCCAGTTACTATGTTACTCTGTTTTTGGGTGACCATCCACCTCTTCTGTTCGGTCATGGCCACTAGCCACATCTATAGATTAGCCAGGTACCGCCGTCGTTAGTTGACGATCGCACTATTGATGGAGTTATCTATTGACAGCAGATATTACCAGAGCCCCATTCGTGTGCAAGTCCAATAATTGAAACATTATTGGATCCAAATCACTCCAGATAGCTAGGTGCAGAAGTAGTGGTTATTTTCTGAGAGCATAGAGTGACAGCCGCGATAATCAACATTGTCGGACAATCCGGTGACCTGATTAGTAATCAGGTGTCCCCGCCCCACGTGGGGCCTAAGACCGTTACAATTTTTTTTACAAAAAATTACAGATCTTCCTCACGCCCACATCCCATCGCACTCCCCTCTTTGAACTATTTATTCCGTTTCAGACGTCAAGTCAAATACCGCAAAAATGGGCAACGTAAGGAGGAATCCCCAAGCCATACAGACGACGCCAGACCATCTGAGCTCTTTGTTTGGGCTTATCAACGCAGTGAACTAACAATACTCGATAGGGAGCCAAGGCAAGCATGAAGCGCGAGCGCAACGCGAAGGACCAGAAGACCGCCAAGTCGCAGACCAAGAGCGTACGTCAAGTTATCTCCAACCCCCATATTGTCTCTCCGGCCGCTGACCCACATCATTGTCTAGAACGAGAAAGCCATGAACATCCAGTGCCAGGTCTGCAGACAGACTTTCCTCCAGACCACCAAGGCTCCTGCGTATGTGATTCCAAACCCCAGTCCTTTGCGAATGCCTTCCGGTCTTGCCCGTGTATATGGTTCCTTGCTAACATGCGTATTCGCGCGGCTATAGCCTCCTCGAGCACGCCTCCAACAAGCACAGCAAGGGTCTCCCCGATTGCTTCCCCGGTATCAGCGCATAGGAAATCACCCCGGTGGAACCGAACCAATCTTCTTTACGATATCACGGGTTAGCATGGCTTTAGGAGTTTTGATGGGAAGCGAACATATCTAGCAACTGGAGTTGAGAGTGGACACTCTACGTAGGCAACTATGTAGGTGTAGGTGGTGAGATCATAATGGGGTGTACATGCGGTGGTGATGTGAAAACCCTTATGATTATAGATGCAGTCGACGATACATGATCTTTCTCTCCCTCCATGCTCACTAATTTTCCTACAGTACTAACAGATGGTGGTGAAACCTACACTTACGGGGATTAGATATAGTCGTAGGCCTGCTGGGCGAAGAAAGGTCGTAGGGTGATATCGTTTTGGTATACTATACTACACATTCTACAATGAATTTATATTGATTGAAATTATCAATTATCAAAGGTCTAAACTGACAAGTATCTACCAGACCCAGACCCAACACAGGATTATGATTAGATTGTGATATCAACTTAGCAATTTGATTGAGAACTCTACGAGTATCGTACTATCAAGCCATATTCACATGAAACATACCAAGTGACATGGTGCACTGATGATGGTGTGTGCCTCTCTCAGATCACTCTCAGATCAGCTCTACCATGGACCTTGCCATTTCGGGTTTCTCAGTTGGAACAATTTCCATTTCGACCAGCTTGCTGATGATACGTACAGCCCACCCTTGGCAGTTCTCCGTGACAGATTGCCTGTTGGCCGCTCGAGGGGGAGGCTCTTGCTCTGTTTCACCACCATTTCCTGTTCTTTGTCACAGGGGCCAGATGATAGATGTTCAAAAAGGCGACGGAGTGGACAATATTAATAGGGTCATCCGAAGGTAGATATGTCATCAATTCTGCATCTCCCGTGACCTGATAGACCATGCCAGGTTCGTTCTCAGTGGCGACAAAGAGTGACCAATGCAGAGGTTCCCCTTCACCTTGTTCCTCATGAACCAGAGAGATTGTTTTGGAGGGTGGGGAAGAGTGGAGGAGGTGTCTGAGACCTCTTGGAATTAATTTTTTGCTCGATCCATTCATCCCTAAGACCAATGATGCGTATGGGAGAGTCTGAAGTTGGATAGCCACTCATTTCTAGGTGACATAAGCATCAGGGGTTTTCGTACAATGAGCTAAACAATTTCAGTATTCACTAACGAACGAGCGTCTCTTGTCGTAACGGTCCAGGGTAGAGATATTTGAATATTGTATTATCTAACCGTAAAACCACCATCAACTCTAATATCCGCACCGTTGATCATGCCGCTGGAATCCTAATGTAAAAGTCAGAACCAGAGATATAGCCCACCAAGGAGGAAAAATACCTGACAAAGAAACAACACAGAATCAGCAACCTCCTCTGGAAGCACAAACTTGCCCGTCGGTATATTCTCCAAGAAGGCCTCTTTAACATTCGGCTCCCCCCAAGCCTTCCTCCCAAGATCCGTCCACGCCACAGTCGGAGACACAGTGTTAGCCGTGATACCCCGACCACCCCACTCAGAGGCCATACTGCGCGTCAGACCCAGGAGCCCAGCTTTCGAAGCACAATACGCGCCATGCCGATGCAGCGCGACATGTGCCGCCTGTGAGGAAATGCTGACAATCCTGCCCGGTGGTGGGGGATTAGGCGATGATTCGGCGGCCTTGGATGCGGCAAAATAGAGTCGAGCAAATGCCTGAGAGCAGAGCATCGGACCGAAGAGGTTAGTGGTGAGATGTTTCAGCGTTTCTTCCGGCGGTGTTATCTCCATGTCGCTAAGAGATACGTATCCAGCTGTATTGATTAGGAAACTTGGGAATGCTCTATTAGATGGAGAGCCCGAGGTTGGGTCGATTATTTGTTTCTGTAAGGAGTTGAAGGCCACCTGCACAGAGTCTGGTGAGGTGATGTCGCATTCATAGGTGTGGATGTTATCTAGGTCGCCGCTCGCGCCGTACCGGGATTCGAGAAGCTCGTCGCGGCGTGCAGCTTCGAAAGGTGCATAGAGAACGGCGAGATGGGCACCTTGTTGTCTCAGCTTTTGCCCTATGCTTGATCCAAGGCCGCCTGTGGAGAAGTTAGGTTTCGTTGAGTCTGGCTTTGTGTCTCGTGTCCCTACCTAGGCCGCCAGGTATGATGGCTAATCTGCGGGAAAATGCCATTTTGTACGATTATATTTGAATAGTTGCAAAATGCCAACAGGAACTGGCACCTGACACGGTGTATGAACTTCAAACCGGGCATTCTCCGCTGAGGGGAAGTTGAACGCTTTCGGAAATGATCGTCCAGTCTTCACTTGATGTCACTTTGTGTTGAAAGGCTGAAAGATACAGAGTAGTTAGAGAAGCTTTTGTTATTTACGTTGATAAATACAAGTTAATGAGGGATAATTAGACTAGAAGCTCATCGTTTCGGACTAACAAACCGTCAGGTTCAAGTCCCACTAACAAAGATCATATTTACTTCTCTTTCTTCTCCCCTGCATGAATATCAACATCATCCAAGACAGCCTGGTTCTCTTTCGCTGCCGCAAGTCGAATCCTCTTTAGCTTCCTCGTATCAACATCCACCCGCCAAGTAAAAGCCCAAGTAATAAGGTTCATAATGATCGCCATGCCAACGAATCCCATCGCAATCCCAAAGGAGGTCGCATATCGTGGTGCGAACCGAGAATTAAACAGCTGAGAGCCCACAGCCCCTCCAATCTGGCCGTAGCTATTCGCAAATGCGATTGCAAAAGCAGATCCCGTTGCGCCCTCGGTGGTCTGGACTCGCCAGGGCCACATCATTGTATACCTGGTTTGTCTTAGCATGAAGTATTGATATAATATAGAATGTTACCAGTCGGACTCACCATGCAGTCGAGAAGCCTCCTGCTATTATCGTCGCGGCATATACACCACCGTTGTTTGGGAAGGCATATAGCACGCCATAACACGCCAGAATGACAATCATGAATCCAAGCGGGATAGCTGGCTGAGGAATACGCCCGGTATCTGCGAAGATACCGAATACGATTGTCAATATTACTGCGAAGACCGCAGATGGGATGTTTAGTAGCTGGGTTTCACCCATAGAGCTTTGACATTTGTTAGCAAATACCCCGAGCGCTTAAAGCTGGGGCAACTCACGTAAATCCAAGATTGGCAATGACGGTGGGTTGGTAGAATGTGAGTCCCGTCGTCCCAATAGTAAAGAAGGCCCAACAGAAGAGGAAAAGCCAGATTCGCTTGTTCTTCAACGTCGTGATAAGTTCGCGCAGGTTAAAGTTAGACTCCGCCGCTCGAGGGGAATTGCTCGGTAGGCGGGCTTGTGTGAAGGCTTTTTCTTTTTCAGATAACCAGGATGCAGTTGAAGGGACTGTGGAGTGGTTAGTTATGCCTGGCACTGAAGGTTAGGATGACCTACAATCGGGTAGGAAGAAATAAGTAAATATTCCCAGTAAGACTGTGAAGATCCCTTCAGTCAAAATAAGCCTTAGAGGTATTATTAGCACACGATTGACATGTTTGGAGGGATATTGAAATACCATTTCCATCCAGATAGACCACCCGCAACTACACCATTGAAAGCAAATGCAAGGACACCACTGATCACAGTGCTGAAGTTCCCTAGAAGAGTGACAAGAACTATCCTTGGAGCAACCTCATCGGGTCTATACCAATAGCATAACTGCAAGAGCATTCCTGGCCACAGGCCAGCCTCGAATAGTCCGAGAAAGAACCGGACTGCATATAGACCCTGTCTGTTTGACACAGCGGCATGACAGCAGAGAACGATACCCCAAGATATCTGTAATTGTCAGTGCCAAACCAATCAGAGGTGTAATAATTCAACGTACCATAATCCTAGCTTGCCAAATCGAAGGTCTCACACCTTTTAGCAAAAGGTTGGACGGGGCTTCTGCAATGATGTAAGGGACCTCCAGGGTATTAGTACAACTTCAGGAATGACGCTTTTGATTCGAGATCTCTCACATAATACATAGTCGTGACCAGATTATACTGGTCTGAGGTCATTTTCAATTCAGTCAGGATGTTATGTGGTGTGCCTTTATCCATAATCCGGGCGTATGAGACCTAAAACATTCTGGTCAGTGATCTCCCACCACCGTACTCCGTAGATGATCTTACGTTGGTAAAATCCACACTTTTCAACATATACATAACGGCCAACAGTGGAATCAGATGCCAATCAATGCGTCGTAAAAGCTTCTTTTCTTCCGCGCTACTGAGCGTCGCACGCGCTCGCATCAGGGTGGCATCATAGCCGGGAATGAGCTCTTCTTCAAAAGACTCTGGAGTGTGTTCTCCATCGCGGTTGACATAGTGTATATTTCCTTTCGCCGGTATCGGTATTTCGTCCGCGGAGACATCCCCAATTTGGCCCTTCTCTGCTATCTCAGAAGACATAGTGATCACCAATCAGTGTCTTTTGTAGTTGGCGCACGGAGGCAAGGTACTGCTGGAGCAATTGCAACGATCCAGAAAGGGTATCCAGACCATTAAATGGACTCTATTAGTATCATATTTGCTCTACTCCGCAATCTCGAGCACCAAAAGTTGGTTATCTCCTGCGTGAATTGCGCAAGATGAGCAAAGACCACTCGGCATGGCGTGCAAGGATTAGTTACCTAGCGTCTTATACTAGTTAAGCTGTGGAATCTTTGCCGATAGCATAGATATAATCCCTGCCGTGCGCTAAGGACCCCTCAGATTGGAAAGCCGGATGTGAGCTATAGTCCATTGTTAGTCTAGACAGTTGAAACAATCTGTGAAGATGATCTCCCAGGAGCCAACACCTAGAGTTGTTCCCTAGTATGTAGCGCACTTTCGTCAATCAACCTTGACTTTTGTCTTCCTGATATCAATGTCATAGATTTGATTTATATAGCACCTATTAGAATACAAACAAATAATGCTTTGAGATCGACAGAGCACGCGATAATAAGTCATGCTTGGCAAATTCATGGCTTTAAACTAGTAAAGTGAATTTGCCGAGCAAAGATAATGCATCTCGCTACATTCAGTAAAAAAGTACGAAGTAACGAAAAGAAGCAAATACTTCAGGGCTACGAGTATACGCCATTGCGGGGAGAGAATTCCTAATCGGCCCCTCTCACAGCACTTCATCTTTTCCTGAGAGTCAATCACATTCCTCTCCAGTCCCTAATCTTTATCAGACTTCAATGGGCCGAGAAACATGAAGAATTACCTGTACTTTTACGCCGCATCTCTAGCAAGAGTAGCGTTGGCATCGGAATCCCAACAACCCTTGATTGGAGAAGTGATCGACAAGAACCTGCAATCTCCAACTGTGAATTTAAAAAGAATTATCGACGAATCTCCTCTCTTATCATTCCACAGAGACATTGTGCAAATCCCATCAATCAGCGAAGATGAGAAAAGCGTTGGGAATTTCCTCTTGGACTTCCTCCGCTCCCACAACCTGACCGTCGAGAAACAAATTATCCCTCCGGGGAGTGCCACTGAGCAAGAAAGATTTAATCTTTACGCCTACACCGGGAGAGACAGGTTCCCCGAGCTGCTGCTGACCAGCCACATCGATACCGTCCCACCCTTCATTCCTTACTCTCTGCATCCACCAGCCTCAGACAAATCAGGGGATCTGACATTCAATCGATCAGACCTGATCATCGCTGGGCGCGGCACGGTGGATGCCAAAGCTAGCGTCGCAGCCATACTATTCGCTGCACTGGAAACACTAGATGCCAACCCGGATGCCTCAATCGGGCTGTTATTCGACGTCGGCGAGGAGAAAAGCGGCGTTGGAATGAAACATTTCTCAAACTCCGGTCTCAACCCAGCACCGCCTAAATTCCACACAGTCATATTCGGAGAGCCGACAGAGCTCAAGCTGGTCGCGGGCCATAAAGGCACTCTCGGGCTCAAGGTCGTCGCTGAAGGAAAAGCCGCGCATTCAGGGTACCCGTGGCTCGGGAAAAGCGCGGTCTCCTCGATTCTTCCTGTTTTGTCTTACCTCGATACCCTGCAAGATGTCCTGCCTGAGAAAGGTGGACTTCTTCGTAGTGAGAAGTTTGGTCAGTCGACCTTGAACATTGGGGTCGTGCGCGCTGGTTTGGCCGGTAATGTCGTTCCGGCATATGCCGAGGCAACAATTTCTGTCCGTCTTGCCGCTGGAAATCCGGATGACACGCGAGAGATTGTGCGGAAGGCGGTCGAATATGTGACTGGTGGTGATGGGAGCGTCTATCTTGACTTTGGGGACGTCGAGAACGGCGCTCCGCCCCAATATCTTGATTTTGACGTCGATGGGTTTGATGTGATTACTGTGAACTACGGGACTGATATTCCTTCCTTGAAGATCGATACTCAAGGAGGTCCAAAAGTGAAGCGGTATCTCTACGGACCGGGTAGTATTCATGTTGCCCATGGCGATGACGAGGCAATAACCGTGGGAGAGCTTGAAGAAGCGGTGCAAGGATACAAAAAGTTGATCTCGGCTGCGCTGGTTGCCCACTAGATATAGGCCTTTTTTGGCTTGAGAGATAGATGAATGCAGCATGCTACAGCTATGATACTCTACGCTCTCATATCTACGAGTCTACAAGCGGTTTGCTGGTGGGATCGCAAGACATCGAACCCGCAATCGAGGAAGCCCGGTAGCCACGAGGACGGCCATCGACTGGACTGTAACACTCGAGCTCCCTGCAACTGAGGCCCATGCAGTGGGGCCCAATCCCCGCTGGTGCTGGCAGGACATAGAAGTGAGTGATGAAAGCAAGTTCGTCACAAACACCACTTCACATATGCCTCGGGCGCAACGAGAATTCAGCCCAGCCCAACATGGGAATGGCCGGGTACCGAGCCCATCAGTAGCAAACCGCGGATCTACACCCGAGACGGGCAGTCAGCAGCATCTGCCTTGAGATAAAATCTTCAAGGCACGACACCAAAGAGGGAAAAAAGAGGGATGAAGCATGCATGTCCTTTCGCTGGTATTGTCCAGATCAAGTTTTAACGGTAATATCTCAGATCGAGGCTCGCGCTTTTGGAAGACCAAAAACGCAAGACCTCGAACACCCGTCATGCGTGCTATAGAAAACACACTTACCAAAAGCATCCTTATAGAGATGCCAGGTCACCACCTTTTTTGTTCCCATCCTGTAGTCCCGATGACTATTAGCAAAAGGGAAGCTGCCGTAGAACTCCTAATTCAAACGCCCGTCGTATCGGCCGAGATATTCGTCTTCTCCTCACGTCCAATGGAGTGCTCTGTCTCGGTATCTGTGTCAACAACTTTGATATGCCCAAACCAATTATCATTGGACTTGCGCCACCACTCGGCGATCGCGATGATAGTGACACCGCCCATAATCACAATCGCGTAGTTGAACAAGGTCGAATCCTGGTCAATTGCTTTGTCCGAGTAAGCCGGGGCGCAGAGAACAGCGAAAGCAAATCCGTTCCACATGAATGTGACAACAGCAGCGATAATGCTAAACCAACCCAAATCCCAAAAGCCTGGACGGAACGATTTACGCGTGATAAACGCTCGGCCCATTCCAACCAATCCGTATGCTGCTAGGGAACCCGCGGCTGAAGTGGAGACCAAGCTGGAGAAGGCCACTTGCGACGGGAGCTGGGTGCATAGCAGAAGCGCGGCAATAACTGAAATGAAGATCACAGAGTTGTGAGGCTGCTTTGACTTCGACACACGCGATAGCACGTCGCTGAATGGGAAGACACCATCGCGTGCCACGGCGAATACAAGTCGCGATACAGCAACCAAAGAAATCGAAGTATTGAGAATTGCTCCGATCATCGCGACAATGGTCATCACAACGTGCGCATGGGGACCGAGCGCCATCGCGTACATGTTGATGAACGGCTGAGGTGCGGTAGTGTCATAGAATGTGTCAATCGGAGGCATGCAGAAGAGAAACAAGATGATGATCGGGAAGCCGCACAGCGCAGACGCAACGGTTGCCCAGAAGATACCCTTCGCGGCGGCTTTCTTAGCGGACACGGTCTCTTCGGCGACATGACCCGAAGCATCCTGTCCCACGAGACAACTGGCGACCAAGTACCAGGACAAAACCCAGTTCAACCCAGGACTGGTATCCCCGCCATTGTATGTAGACGTAAACACGTATTCGGCTGACTGGAAGCCGTACGTCTTAGAGACGCCAATGGGAAGCCAGATGAAGTTGAGCAGCATATCGATGATAATGATCGTCACACCCGTTCTGAACACCCACGAGTACATGCGCGGGGGCAAGAAATTTAGCGAGGTAGCCATGGCCAGGAAAATAAGCGAGATAGCCCATGCCACGGCACGCGCTCGGACATCGGCCGTGTCGTATGGGAAGCTCGTCTTCGGATTGAACACGACAACCTCGGAAATCAGGTAATTGGCGACACCGAACGAATCACTCGCGAGGAAGGCAGTCCACGCAACCAATGTCCATGCGGCAACGAGGAAGGAGATGAAGCGGCCGACTTGACCGCCTCCCCAGGATCGAAAAGCCCAGTAGTAAATTGACCCCGCGGCTGGATAGCTTGAACAAGCTTCAGCGAGACAGGCGGCCGTGACGACGGACAGAATACTACCGGAGACCCAGGAGCTCCACCTAAGGAAGTTGTTAGTGATGTGATCAATGCGAAAAAGCGCGGGGAACAGCGCGGAAAGTAGAACATACATGGCAGCCGGCCCGCCTCCACTGAGGGCGATATAGAAAAGCACACGAATTCCTCCAACGCAATTCAAGGCTGAGAAGGAGCAGGCGAAATTGTCGAACGAGCCCCAGCCTCGAGCCAAGACAGAGCGATAGCCAAGCTTTAGGAGGTCGCGATCATCTTCATTGGTCACGGAAACTCCATCGGAGTTCTGGGCTTGATGTTCACTGTTCTGGACATCTTGCGGGGAGTTGGGTACATCGAGGGCAACAATGTCAGGGAAGGTCATGATGGCTGCTCTTGTTTTTTTGTCTTTTGAGAGGCTTGGCACTTGACAATCGCTTTCTTTTTTTTCCCAAAGAAAAAAGTTCTAATTCAAGTAACTTTTCCGATCCCTATATCACGTGGGCCGATCAATGGACCCCGACACCGGGGTTTGTTCAAGGGTCTTCTGAGCCATTATTGATTTGAAGATGGAATATTAAAGCATCATGAGGAATTGACTAGAAATGCTACTTCATAGGTAGTGAAGCTGCCAATTGATAGTATGTTGTTAACTATCAGCTTGGCTGTTGTCCGGGTGAAGGGGCGGGGTCAATTATTGACAGCGTGTCACGCATAGTGGTTGTACCGTACTCCCTATAAGTATACTTTGGTTGACCGCTCATTAATCCATACAATAAATAGCATACATACAAGACCCTTGCTGAAAAAGAAAGGAAAGCACTTCATTGGCAATTATTAATAGTCGTAAACAACTTGCAGCCCTAGAGAGGTCTTATCGTTTCAATGGCGTGATCATCCATAGGCGGACCGATCACGGAGATCATCAGGTATTGATACCATGCGAGGACTGAAAATAACAGTAAATTACACAATATCCCACACGATCCGGTCAGAAACCCTGGATCCCAGGTACACAGAAGTACTGTACCATGTATCATACCGTATTGATGCCCCTCCAACTTTCAGGTGGATCAATCCCCCATTGGGATTAGCGTTTATTTCCTCCCCCTCCATATTTCTTTCACCATTTCTCAGACATTTTTCCTTCTCTTCCCTCACTCTCTCTCTCAAAGGCATCGGATTTGTGAAAATTCTATCCTTGAGACCTTTTTCTTCTTTTCCCCTTTTTTTTTATACACATCCGTCAGAATGGTTCAATCGTATGTTGGCTCGACTCCTTGTGAACAGTGGCCGACACAGTTGCTGACTATCTGAATAGATCTGTTCTGGGTTTCCCCCGCATGGGAAGACTCCGTGACCTCAAGAAGGCCACCGAGGCTTACTGGTCTGACAAGATCTCCCGCGATGAGCTCCTCGCTGAGGGCAAGCGTCTTCGTCTGGAGCACTGGAAGATCCAGAAGGATGCCGGTGTCGATATTATTCCCAGCAACGACTTCGCCTTCTACGATCAGGTCCTCGACCACCACCAGCTCTTCGGAACCATCCCCGAGCGTTACACCAAATACAACCTCAACCCTCTCGATGAGTACTTCGCCATGGGCCGTGGTCTCCAGAAGGAGGGCATTGATGTCCCCAGTCTGGTATGTGCAAATCATTGCATCTGGTGTCTGAATTCAATGCTGACTTAATCAACAGGAAATGGTCAAGTGGTTCGACTCTAACTACCACTACGTGAAGCCCACTCTCCAGGACAACCAGGAGTTCAAGCTCGCTGCCGAGCCTAAGCCCATTGCTGAGTTCCTTGAGGCCAAGGCCGCCGGCATCATCACTCGCCCCGTCCTCCTCGGTCCCGTCTCCTTCTTGACTCTGGGCAAGGCCGACCGTGGCCAGAGCGTTGACCCCATCACTCTGATTGACAAGCTCGTTCCTCTCTACGTTGATCTTCTGGCCCAGCTCAAGGCTGCTGGTGTCGAGGATGTCCAGATTGATGAGCCCGTCCTGGTCTTCGACCTTGCCGAGAAGTCCAAGGCTGCCTTCAAGCCCGTCTACGAGAAGCTCGGTGCCCTCGGTGCCCAGGCTCCCCGTATCACCCTCGCCACCTACTTCGGTGACATCGTCCACAACATTGATGTCCTCTCCAACCTCCAGAGCCTCCACTCTATTCACATCGACTTGGTCCGCAACCCCGAGCAGCTCGACGCCGTCGTCGCCGCTCTCGGTCCTAAGCAGGTCCTCTCCGCCGGTGTTGTCGATGGCCGTAACATCTGGAAGACCAACTTCAAGGCCGCCATTGAGAAGGTCGAGAACGCTATTCAGAAGCTCGGCAAGGACCGTGTCATTGTTGCCACCTCCAGCTCCCTCCTTCACGTCCCCCACACTCTCGCCAGCGAGAAGAACCTTGATGCCGAGATCCGCGACTGGTTCTCCTTCGCTGTTGAGAAGGCCACCGAGGTTGTCGTCATCGCCAAGGCTGTCACCGACGGCCCTGCCGCTGTCCGTGAGCAGCTCGAGGCCAACGCCAAGTCTGTTCAGGCTCGCGCTTCTTCTGCCCGCACCAACGACCCCGCTGTCAAGGCCCGCCAGGCCGCTGTCACCCCTGAGATGCACAACCGCAAGTCTGCCTTCCCCGAGCGTTACGCCGAGCAGACCAAGACCCTCAAGCTCCCTCTTTTCCCCACCACCACCATTGGTTCCTTCCCTCAGACCAAGGAGATCCGCATTCAGCGTAACAAGTTCACCAAGGGTGAGATCACTCCTGAGGAGTACGAGAAGTTCATCGAGAAGGAGATCCAGCTGGTCGTCAAGGTCCAGGAGGAGCTCGATCTCGATGTCTTCGTCCACGGTGAACCCGAGCGTAACGACATGGTGCAGTACTTCGGTGAGCGCCTCACTGGTTACGTTTTCACCACCCACGCCTGGGTTCAGTCTTACGGCTCC